TGCGTTAAATTCTCCTATCCCCAACCTTGCATCAGATATGCAATCTACTGTACTTCTTAGAAGACACGGAAAATAAAATATTGTTTCCGGTACTCCTTTGGTAGCAAATTATATTTTATTATTTTTTGTTTTAAAAAAAAGTTTCCAAATTGCCGAATAATTTTAAACCCTATGGACCGCTGCATTTGAACTCAAGGTTTTTACTCTACATGCTGATAATTCTATTGTCCGTGGGCCACTTCGCTCATTCACCCCTCTCGTTCATTTTCCGTCCTCTCCTCGCAGTCTAACGACTGCCTCACTTTCCTGACGCCGTCTGTGCCGCGAGATGCCGCAAGCCGAGTGAACGCGACCATAGAGGACTGTGAATTCATTGCTGTGAGTCGGCGATCCGGGTATTCACACCTCTATCACTACCGCTGTGAGTGGCCGCAAGCGGCCGGCAAGTGTCGGCTGCCCCTATCGATGGAGCCTCCGTCCAACCCAATCATCCAAGCCAAGATCACGAGAGCGGACCAACTAACTGCCGGAGAATGGGAGGTTCTTCTTGGTCACGTGAGTCCTGCATTCATGGCTGCATTTCCTCAACCCTCCTGCTTTTTAAAGCTCCACCTTGCACATAAAACAGTCATGGGCAATTGAGCAGTAGCCAATCATCCTACTATACTGTACTTTTGTGTCCAGGACTTTTGTAAATGATCTTTAGTGACACTCGTTGATAAACGTTCACCGATCGCTAGCAGAACTCATTCGTCCCGCGCTGCCTTGGCCCTGACAGTAGCCGTAAAGGCTAGTAGGATTAGATGTGTAGTACTACCGACAAAGATAGGGGAGACTGTAATGGCCAACAAGCGAGGTTCGAAATCACGACCTTTTTGATCAGATTCGAGGCCCGAGAAATGAGACCTAGTGCAGACTGGGACATGTGAGTTCCGTTAGCGGTCGGTGAACGTTCATTAACAAGTGTCAATATCTCCTGAACTAAACCAGCAAGACAACGAGTGCGTAGCACAATGGTTAGGGCGTTTGACTCCGATCAGAAAGGTCGCGAGTTCGGGCGTCGGCTGGCGACCACTTGAGTCAGGGTATGCCTGGCTGCAGAGGCATTACAAACGTGTTTTATCCAAAGGACACTTATCACTTAGCCACGTCGAATTGGTCACGTATCGTTTCTGATTGTATCACCTATCACGGTTTTGGTTTCTGCCCGGCCGCACTGTTTTTATCTAAACTCCGAGATAAACAGCAAACAACCTATTCAGTGAAGGAAGGATGAAGCCTGAAAGATACTTTGTTTGCATTTTGTGCTGGTGGCCGGCGTTCAACCAAAAATCCGTCCAATTACTCCTCAGTCCCCGAGCATCGTTCGTCTGTCGTCTATCTCTTTTCTATATTTCTTTCATCTTATCAGATCTTCCTCGATGAAGTCAATAGTCTTATCCTCTTCGAAGGCCTACGAGAACATCCACTGTGGCCAAACGTGTAAGCAGTGACTCGAATATATTATTCCTACTAATAAACAATTAGTAGCAAAGTTTGTTCCAACCT